GGATGGAGGACCTCAATTTAGTTTGTTTGTCGCGCTAGCACCTAGCTAATACATATAAGGCAATATAGCGTCAGCGCTAGCACGAAGAGACAGCATCGAAACGAGTTGGTGCACCTCACAGAACAGGGGTGAAAGAGGGGCTTGTGGAGCTACAGTAACCAGGAACTCAGACCAAAGCGTTGTGTTTCCACTTCATATCGATTTAAACGTGAAAAAGGAATGATTTAAACGCATCACATGTCTCCTTTAACAGTGTTGTTGTTCTCGGGTCGCCACAGCAAGTGGACTTTACGATGCAATCTGGTCCAGAAACTGCAGCCTCAGGATTACCAGACCGGGCAGAGCCCCTACAGGGTCTGTTTCTGTGTTTCCACCTGGCTTAAACTAGATTTCCCTGCTCCTACATTCACAAAGATATTTTTTGGAATCAACAAACAAAATAAGTGAAGCTGATTAATTAAAACCTGTATCTGCTGACATCAAAATAACGAGTGAAGCTGCATTTCTCATATGTAATACCATCTGATATAAGCTTCTTTGTTTCTGCTAGAAGCCCATGTTTCCCCTCAGTGGAGGTGTAAAATGCAATCAGCCACATTAATGAGGACCAGAGAGGAATTAGTGAAGTGGAATGATGCTTTAAAGACACGTTTCAGAGGGCGGGGGGGGGGGGTGCACGGAGCATCATTATCAGATCAATAATGAGCTTTTAACTGGCAACGCTGCAGAGAGGTGCCAGCAGAATCCCACCAGGCCTGGACCCTGTAAAGCATCAAACCCAGGTCCTGTTCTGCATGAAGCCGTAGAGATAAAAGGTTTTACTACCGACCATCCATCACAGCTTCGCTCCTTCTCAGTGAGCGCAGGAGGAGGAGGAGGAGGAGGAGGAGTCAGACGGCTGCTGATTTCAGGCACAAATATCTCATCGAAGCACCGCTCAGATGTTCCTGCTGGAGGACGGATGCAGCAGAGAGGCAGCTGTTTGGCCCTGGCCACACGGCAGCAGGGTCACCTGCTGAGTCATCCACACGGCTGATGCAACATGTTGTGCGGCGGCGGCGGCAGCAGCTGGTAACATGATGCTGGTTGGCTCCACATCAGGGACCGAGTCTCTGTGGACAGGAAACGATTCAACCATACAGGAGGGTCTGTTTGGTTCCTGACCTGAAAGCAGACGCAGGAAGCAGAAGGTTCATCCTCACAGAGACTCTGAGGGGCTCAGGCATCTGTCCAGGAGATGCAACCTGACCTAACAGGTCAGGGTTTGTGGTGACCCTAAAGTGCCCCTGGCATGAAATGTATTTTTGGRAAGATGASATCGATAACATATTGTAACAAAAAAGTCCTGCAGGTGAGATGAACAGTTGTTGAGATATTCTTATGTTCAGTAACAGGAAGTGATGTCATGAGGGGGAATATCTGCATGTTAATGTGATGTCCTGAGATCCATTCTACTTCAACACAATGCTCATGTTTATTTGTTTGTTTGTTTGTTTGTTTGTGCAGTAACTTCCACATACGAATATGAGACTGGGTCTCTTACATCGACCCTGTAGAGGCAGAGTCAGATGTTTCACTGGAACCCGTTTCTGCCTCGAATCAGTGCCTGTCCTTTCCACCGAGAGTCTTCTTCCCCAGAGGACCGAGACCAGAACTCTGAGCAGCACAGGAGATGGTTCTGGATCCTCCCGTCTCTTTCTGTAGATGTTGTTCTTGCACAAAGCTGTCCTCTGGACTAAACCCACGCAGTCTGTGACAGTTTAAGACAAACAAGTAGGACGATGCTGCAGAACTTCAGTGCTTTGCAGTCTGTCAGCGCTACAGACCGGACTTTAGTCTAAAAGCACACTTTTAAAGGGCAAACAGTGAGGAGCTATGCAATCTTTCTTCCTGATGTGCATGATGTAAATAGCTTCCAGCTGGTGAGTTTGTTTTAGTAAAGTGTTCTGGTGCACACTGACAATCATAGTAATTTGTAGCTCAGTTGATGGAAGGGCTCTTTGTCATCTCACCTGTAAGTCTGGCTTTCGTACTCTGTCTCCTGCCAACAGGTAACTCTATCAAACAGCTTTTCAATGTTTTCTGGCTCGAGTCAAATAAAAACATTTTCTGTCCAACGATGTTTCCTGGAGTCTTCTTCTTCTTCTTCTTCTTCTGAGAGAAAACAGATTCAACAAAACATCCAACAACTAATCCAACAACAGGTCCAACACAAAAATTGATCCAACAACAGGTCCAACAACTGATCTAACAACTGATCCAACAACAGGTCCAACAACAAGTCCAACACAGGCCCAACAACAGGTCCAACACAGGGCCAACAACAGCTCCAACACAGGGCCAACAACTGATCCAACAACAGATTCAACAAAACATCCAACAACAGCTCCAACACAGGGCCAACAACTGATTCAACAACAGATTCAACAAAACATCCAACAACAGCTCCAACACAGGGCCAACAACTGATCCAACAACAGATTCAACAAAACATCCAACAACAGGTCCAACACAGGGCCAACAACAGGTCCAACACAGGGCCAACAACTAATCCAACAACAGATTCAACAAAGCA